TAGTTTTCTCTCGTAGCTCTCTGGCAATTGAGTGGCTAGTCTCACAAGGGAATAGTGTCCAATCATGAAAATTGTTCAAGCGAAGGCTAGCTCAGGCTTCTCGACAGTGGCAGTACTCATATTTCATGATGAATAAAATGGGGTATGTGGTGTGCATTGTAAGGCATTTAACGCCAGCCCTGCTCTTGACCCACTAGATGCTGGTAGCACCCACGTCCCCATCATAACAACCTAAAACATCTCCAGATTGCCAAAGATCCCCTATCAGGGGCAAAAATAGCCCCTTTGCAAGAACTAGGTTAGATAAGCACTAGAGAAAATTAAGCAGCTGCTTCATTCAAGTCCTTAGTAAGTACTTTTAAATACCACRTCTTATTGGAACTTTATAACATCGCTTCAAGGTAAGCTTTATTAATTTCCCTTTTACACCCAAGGAAAGAGATGAAGTTACTTGACACACGTCACTCAGCTCAGTAGTTGACCTGCTATCTCCCCTGGTATTTGAAGAAAAATTGAACACCCAGAGGGAGATTTGATTAATTATCCCAAAAAGTCCTTCAGAAGCCCTGATGTGCCCTTCAAGTAGGAGACCCTGAATCAACTGAGGAAGAAAAGGCTACGGGGGAGAGAATCAAGTGGAGAAAGGAGTATARAGAGGAAAAAAATACCAAAAGCACAAAGCAAAAGAAGAACTAGAGTTCATTGACATTTTTGCAAAGTTACAAAATTCCCATCTGAAATGGGCTCGATTCTTGGAGTCCTTTCCTGTGGTGGTTTCTATCAGTTATTTTCCCATAGAAGCAGCAGTGAGGAGGGTCAGCAATTCATTTAAACTTGATGTCACTGACCTGCGTGATCTGGTAGTGTTTGAGCTTGTGCATGCTCAGTGATACACCAAGAGGAGAAAGAAAACTATTTCCTCTCCTTTGCCCAGGAAAGAGAACAACCACATAACGTTGTATAAACATGGAATAATGGGGTGCACCATCTTGAATGTGACGTATTTTAACCRAACACATTGACTTGCCCTGAAAGTAAATAGACAAAAAAATATGAATACAGAAAAATAGCCCTATAAAGGACCACTTTTATGTGAAAGCACAAAAAAATGATAGACCTGCCTTTTCTTCCCAACAAGAATCAAATTCTTTTTTGGAACCAAGATAAATTGCAGGTTGAAAATTTCTCRCTTAATRTTATCAATTTTAACTGCCATTTCTTGGTCCACATTACAGGCCAAATGAACTCTAAAGCAAACTTTTCTTTTGGATATTGTTACTTTTATGAATTCTGATGAGCCTTTTCTTTCTTTMTTTCTCTATTCTCCAAATGTTTGTCCCTTTCCCAATTACTGACTCAATTCCTGTCGTTCCTTTAAAATGCAGACCGAGTTTCTTTTCTTACCTGAAGCCTCTCCTGGTTGCAGTATCTTTGTAGTTCACAACCACCTGGAATTTATTCATTTTTATTTCATTACCAACTGTCTCCCTGTCACATCAGGACCTGGGCCTGTGCATTATTGCCTGCTGCTTCCGTAGCACCTAGAACAATGCTTGGCTCCTGAAAGACATTCAATGCTTGTGCAGTGGTTTGATGTCCTTGTCTATATTTTTAGCCCTTGAAACAGAATTCAGGACAATATAATATCAATGACTCTAAGTCGTCGTATTCCTTTGTAAGGTGGTTAAGAGCAGAGATATCTAAGAACAGAGATATCATTTTATACCTAGCCATGACATCTAATGGAATGTACCAGAAGAGGTCTTTGAAGTTCAGGCATTATGAAGAAAGTAATAACTTGAACAAATGAACATAGCATTTAGTTAGCTTTACAGGTATCACATCAGCTGTGGCTCATTCCCCTCTCCCCCTTTTCCATATTTTCCATACTACAAGATTAGAAGCACATGGTGCCTTTAGAAAACCCTTTTAAACCTCTGCCCCACAGTATCCTGCCTCACACAATCTGAATTGTTTCATTTCATTTTGTTAAATAGCATAAAATACCACCAAGAAGACTGGGGGCAAGCAAACCTTTTCTTTTTGAAATTGCAACATTCTCTGGCAGAGTTACTGATCTTTGAGTCATTCACATCTAAGTATGAATTAGTTTAATCAACCGCTTTTCTTCTATCACTTAGCAGAAGATATTTCCTGGGGAAATGCAAACACCCAAGCTAAAGGAGGTGCACCAGAAGGGTAGAGGAGAGATGCCAAGGATTTCAGAATGTTACTCTTTTTCTCTTCTAGGCAGCAAATGGGAAATGAATTGGAACAGAGTAGCAGGAAGGATTCTGGTAGTGATGGGATTTTTCTGTATCTTGATTGTGGTGGTGGTTACACGAATATATGCATTTGATAAAATACATAAAACACACACTCTCATACTCACAAAATTGGTAAAATCTGAACAAGTCCAGTGCCTTACAACAATGTCAATTCCTGATTGCCATATTATRCTCTAATTTTGTAAGAAGTCATAAATGGGGAAACTGGGGGAAAGTTACACAGTATCTCTTTGTATGACTTCCTATAATTACTTGTGCCTATACAAGTATCTTTAAAAGTWTTTTAAGCAAATTTTCTAAAACGGTGTTTTCCTAAGATGGTAGACTGGGAAGAGGAGTTTTCCATCTAATTTGGAAAAGTTAGGTCTGGAATGACATCATCATCGTGGTTTAAAGTGAGTATCCACTGTGGAAATGAGCTTAAGGGCCACAGTTGCTAGAAAAAAAATTTTTTATCTAAAATGCAGAACAGACAGGAAAGAATTGCAGAAAGGTCAGAAATAGGAAAACAAATGAAGGGAGAAAGAGACACAAATAACAAACCCTTCATTTTCTTCTGCTCCAAGGTACCCTCGTAATTGGTGGTATTTAGCATTGAAAAGGAAAGGGAACAATCAGGTGCTTGATGTTATTCAGGCCTAATATTGTCTTTCTATGCATCCCTTWAAAAAGCTTAATCTCGGACACAAAATTTATTCTGATTCAATTTAAATTCTTAATCTTCTAGAACAAGGATACTTTTCTACTCTCTTTCAGATAAATATATGGAAGTTTGGACATATGGAAGAATAGATGGATGGATAGATGGATGGMTGAATGGATGGATAGATAGACAGATAGATAAAGATATCCTGCTCATTTTTTTTGTCAGTTGATACTCAATGATAAAAAGATTTCCAACTTTGGCAACCTGTCTCGGTTATTGCCTGTACCACAGGGTGGTGAATGCCTTGATACAAGCACATTCTTACACAGGGTCTAATCTTACTGGGACATGATAACACTAATTGCTGAAAAAACTAATGAACTATTTTGGGCACAAGATATAATAATATTCAACTTTTACTTTTATTTTAGAATGCCATCTAAAATATTTATGAAAAAAATAGACCCTAGAAAGTCTCTTCCTAAATATTTTGGTAGTGAGATTCAATAAAGTCTCTTATAAATTCACCAAATTCAGGGGTTCTGCCCCCTACCTCAGCAAGGACTGTGTCAGCTCACATGAGGTTAAATCTGGGTGTTGTCAACTATGAGAGGCAGACRGAAAAGGATATTCTCAGGTTTATACAAGACTTTGTTAATAGGTCTGAAAATAGGAATCAAGGTGAATAATMATGTATATTTCAAAATTGCTTTAAAAACAAATTTTTTACTTTTCTTACCATAAAAAAGTGACAAAAATTATAGAGGTGATGGGTTGTTCACTAGCTTGACTGAATCTTTCCACAAAGTATACATAGATCAGAATGTCACATCCAGGGCTATAAACATGATTATCGTTTGTCATTTAAAACTAAATGCATTTTTAAAGTCCAAAAGTCCAAAACCATCAAAAGTCCYGGAACAATCAAACTTTTGAACTTTGTGGGCTTAGCAGGAATTAAACCCCTGGTTTACTGTGTATCCATGAGTAAATTTTAGCTTCATCATAGAACAAGCAGTCACTTGTAAACCACACGAAACCCAAATTTCATGAGGTATCACCATGACCTCCTGAAATTGTTTCCCAAATATTAACTTTACAGAAGTGAAGATGACTAGCAATCCTATTTTAAAACTTTAGCCTTATGGTCTGTCTAGTTCAGGTAGAAATACACAGGGCATATTTGTCCCCACCCCACCCCCCACCACCAAGAGCACTGACTCCCTCTCTCAAATACCATCRTATGACTTCCACTAATTCTTTCTTAGAAAATGTGCAAAAAGGATTTCCATAGAGGTCTTTGGAGATTTCCTGTGTCCTCATGTGTGTAATAGCTTCGGCCAAGGAAAAGGAATTTTGCTTTATGTATTTTTGTATTTGTATGTGTATTTTTCTCTTTCTGGCCACTGAAAAGGGAGGAAAATAGAAAAGAGGAAAATCATACCATCCAGATAATGTCAGTTTTAAATCAAATTAAGATCATATGTTTGGCTGTGGCAGCTTTAATCTTCTGATTATTGATAACATTATTGGTAATGAAGTACATTTGTAAGAAATATTTTTAATGTATGCTCTGTGCATGGACACACCACYGTGAGATAAGCATCTAATAAAATGATAGATATAGAAATGGCCCATCACCTAAATTCAWGTTTTTCAAAGAGCTATTTATAGAAAGAAAAGTGATATGCAAGCTACCATAGTAGACTATTGTAATCTGCCATATATTACCTTAGATAATACTCCCATCTTTTAAAATAATGTTGTAAACCATTCAATTACTTATTCACACCTAAGTTATATAAATCGGAAGATTTGGGAGGATGCAAGGAAGTAATTTTTTTTTACAAAAGTGAGACCTCACTGTCATGGCTTCAAGACATTGCCACAAAACAAGTTATACTATAGATAAAAATAAACCAAGCCAACATGAATTTTTAATAAGCAAAAAAAAATTATAGAGACATTAAAAACAGCTTTTAATTTTAATCTTTTCTATTATGAAAGGGAACATCAGTGGATCTGGCTGTGGCTATATGTTCAATATGTATTTCTCTTGCTGATAGGTCCTCAAAGCATACAGCAAAATCTCTACAGACCTACAAGATGATCTCAGCCTGGGCAGAGCCTACGAAGCAATCGCCAAGGTCCTACAGAGGTAAGTAAGCACATCCTTGTCTCGCTGTCACTGTGAATCCATTCAACTGTGAAAGACTCAAATTGTTTGAGGTCTGTCGCTTTCAATGCATTACTGCCTGCTTAAATTTTAAGCAGTGCCCTTCTTAACTGACCCTTTCATCCTAGGTTATTTTAAACCAGTGTCGTATTTAAAAAGGAGCATCKAAACTCTTCTTTGTCTGTCCCTCCTTTGAATTGTTTTCTTTTCAGTTTTTTTTTTTTTTTCTGCGCATTTAGTGGATGACCTTGAATGAAAGGGGGGGAAAAATCAGGTCACATCTCCCAGGTTAAGAAAGCAGTGAGCACTCTGTGGTACGCTTCAGTAACTGTGGCTCGCCATAACCTTTGCAGAGCTCTTCTTTAAGGAAAGATTCCATTTATGCTTCAGTCATGCTTCCTCCATTAAGATGTCTCTCCATGGAGCACATCTGCAAAACCAAGAGTCCCAATATTTTCTTTAAAACAGAAAATTTAATCAAAGTGTACCAGAAAAACTTCAGATACATGGTTTTCCATGGAAAACATATGGTTGCCCTTCATTCATTGCATTGTAATCCTTAGTGGGTCACTATATAATACCATTATGACTTAACCAAGATAGAATAAAAGTAAGAAAAGTTATCTAAGTTAAGATCCAGGTTTTCCGAATATTATCTTATATCAAAAATACAGCTTTTTATTAATAGTAGTAGTAGTAGTAGTAATATAAATATAGAGTTAAGTTCTAATCTCTTTCCATTTATATTTTGTTGTAAACATATACAGCCAGGTATGGTCATGCACACCTGTGATCCCAGTGTCTTGGGAGGCTGAAGAAGGAGGAGAGCAAGTTCAAGGCAATCTTCAGCCACTTAGAAACTTGTGAGGCTCGGTCTCAAAACTAAACTAAAAAATAAAGGGGTAGGGGATATTGCTCAATGATAAAGCATCCCTGAATTCAATTCCCACCTCTAAAAGTAAATGAATAAACAAACATATACATAAACATATGTTTTTWAAAAAAGTAAAATTGTTATTTGAAAGGCATTTAGTGTTTAAATGCCTAAGGAACTGAAAGTAGAATCATTCCCTAAGTACCATTGCTAATATAGTAATCACTGCTTAAAATACCTCTACCAATGAAATGGGAACGGCCCTACAAAGTACCCTATGAAACACAGTCATTGATGGAAAAATGGCTTAGGTAGGAACACAGTCATATTTATAAAAAGAGTGTAGACATTTCCTGGAGAATGTCAGGGCAGAGACAGGTAAGGAAGATAAGTGACCTGCAAAGCCTGAAGGTCCTCCAAAATTAGACTGGTAGCTAGTCCCTAGACAACCAGCCGTGTTGTCCCTTAGAAGTGTTACTTTAAAATCAATGACCAAGAAGATGCTTGACTACAAAGAAGAGATAGGGAAGAATTCGGCTTCATGTCTGTTTGGAACAAACCAACTGTGTTCTTTTGCCCTCTTCCCTTGGGTTATTAAATTACTTGACTCTGCTCTTCCCAGTGCCCCAAATCAGTAGAGCATGGTTGGATTCCTTGTCTTGGTTTGCAGTGACAAACCTAGCTCAGGCCAGTACAGTTGTATAAATGTGATCTCTTGTTTGGAAAATAATTTTTACAAAAATAATATTTCCTTTGTATCTCAGAGTAACTGAAGAGATAAAACTCAAGGGAAAATATTTTCTTGTGTGAACATTGGCTGAGCACTTACTATGTCCCAGGACATATGGAATGTGCCTTTGATTACCGATGATGGTCTTTATTTTTGAAACTTCTAGAGATGTGAGGTTGGTTTCAAAGAGTTCTCACCTGTTTAACTTGTGTGTTCTATCTAGAACATTTTAGTTTCTACCCCAAGATTTGAATGCCTAGTCTGTATAGTCAAAGCTAAGGGAAAACTTGAGCAACTAGTTGGTAAAATTTGACACAGATAATCTAATGCTTTAATTTGGCTGCATAAGTATTCTCTGGGGTTTAGAAGTGGGAAAGAATACAGAAATATTTGATGGGAACAGGAAGTTGGGAGTGTTTTGGATGGGGACGTATCTGTTCCAACACACTGAACAACCCAAAGATGTGCCTTAAGGCAAATATATAGTGGACCAAGAAGATTTATCCCCATTTCACTTTTATACCAAATGAAACTTTCACTTATAAGAATGCCTTTCTACTAAAGCACAATAAAGCAATCATTGATTTGTGGTAGACATTTTTTTTTTTTTGTGGCTGTTGTTTTTGTTACTAGGGATTGAACTCAGGGGCACTGAACCACAAAGCCACATCCCAGCACTATTTTGTATCTTATTTAGAGACAGGGTCTCACTGAGTTGCTTAGTGCCTCACTTTTGCTGAGGCTGGCTTTGAACTCGCGATCCTCCTGCCTCAGCCTCCCAAGCTGCTGGAATTACAGTCATGCACCACCGCACCCAGCCAAGAGTTCTTAATTTTATAACGTTATATGCAATGTACAACAGAGCCCAGGGGATGCTTCTTCTGAGGTAATAGTGGGAAAGTGTTCCACGGCCAGAGAATTCCAGTGCAATTTTGCCATTTTGAAGCATTGATGATTGCAGAAGAGTACCCAGGGGAATGCACGCCTGGCATATTCTTTCAACATCTGTGCAGAATAGCTCAAGAGCATGATCTATTGACCGGCAAATGTTTTAAAACCAGAAATTCTATACAGGTAGACAGCAGCACCCTGGATGTCTGAGAAGCTTTATTCAAGTCCATTAACTAGTAAAATCCTTTAATATAAATTTTGTGATTATTTTTAGAAAATGTTGCTTCGAGGGCTTGATATTCTTCAATAAAGGTGCATGTGCCACATTCAAACACACAGGCACAGGCGTATATATGTATTATCTCTCTCCTAGCCCTAAACTGTCCTTCTCAGGGTAGCTGCAACGGGAGAGAAATGGAACACAGCCAAAATGGAGGGAATTATGGTGGCGGCAGCTGAGAAATAAATCAAGCTGTGTGTGAAGCTGAGCATCACCTCTAAATCTCTTTTTCCTAACCTGTACAATTGCACCAGTTTCACTAATGGTAGCCCTACCTCTATAAACATATTTTATCTCTTTAAAGGAAATGGAACCGTATAGCCAGGTCTAGCATTAGTGGGAGTCGAAGGCCATCAGCTGAGTGTTGCATGAAAGGTGAATAAGCTCTGAGGCTAGAAGCTTCTAAAACGGTTATAAGAATTTATACTGAGCCCTCAATTGGAAAACACACCACATTCTCTCAAGACAGAAGATTTGGTGATGTTGAGCTGCCCATTGGTGATGTTAGAGCCAGGCCTGGTATTATGGAGAAAGGTTTTAATAGTGAACGGGTTTTGCTATTTTTGCTATTGTTCTGAATAATATTAACTGTATGGAGATTTAAGCAGCATAACGGACAAGGCAGAGTCATAATGTCTCCTGCCCCTTACTCGGAATGCTAGTGAAAAAAAAAGACGTGCTGTACTACAATTGTCTTATGATGCTACTATAAAAGCCAGAATTATGGCCTATAAAACAAAGAAAAAGTGAGTTGAGAAATTACAAAGTAAATATCATTCTTATGTAGATAGTTCAAGTGAATACATGGGAAGAACCCCTCAATTTTCCTTACAAAATCATATACTATTGCATATCTATATATATATATAATATATATAATACGTATATATTACACTTATAAACATATATAAGTGTAATATATACGTATTATATATATTACATATATATTCATATATATATATATATACACACACACCCTCATTTACTGACTGAGGTAACTCACTTACTGAAATTCCACAATATTTCAACATAATGAAGATGACTATTTAAAAGAATCGAAGGAGAGGAAAAAGTCCACAAAAATATATACAGAATGTACTGGTCATAACCAGCCCATCTCTGAGTTGATTCCACAGCATTTGCCAATTTTCTTGAGAACTCAAGTTAAATTATTTCCTAGAAAACTTTCCACAGTGGAGATCTTTAAATCAATCAGTACAAAGTTTCAAGTGTGAAAATTACCTTTCTGTCATAGCTGAAAATTAATTTCTTCTTGCTTGAGAGAAATGACACGCCCTAGTAATTTTCATATATTCTTTAAAATGGAACATCCAGGCTTTGATGTGAAATTTCCTAAAAAAAAAAAAATGACCAAAAAAAAATACATCCAAACATTTCTATTAATGCATGGAATGAAGAAGAGCTTTTTACATTTTCTCCTGTCACTGATCCCATTTGCCTTATCACTTTCATCTGTGGCCCACAAACTTGGTGGCACAATCAACAAACCCCTCAGTGGCTGTTTCATCTCTGCTCTATTTGATTTCTCCTCTCTGAGTAAATGATTAAGTTTTCATGCATTGGTTCAACCAAAATCTATGTTCACTCAACCACATCCTTTATTGATTACTTCTACTGCAAACAGTAGGCCAAGTGTGATATACATAATTGGACAGTTGTCAGGGGACGTGGGTGTTAACGGTCCTGTTTTCCCAGTTGGAACCCGGAATCACCTTGATACACAAATATTCTGCACCGTTTCATTCTCATCCTTTGGACCGAGGAGTCCTGTTCCTCAGAATATATGTTTTTAACTCTCTAAGGTCTGGTTGAATGAATTTAATGATTATACCATATAATATGCTGTTCAAGTTGCACCTGTGCACTGCATATAGAAAACCGGAATTAATATTTGTCTAACATTTTAACCTTGTCCTTGAACTTATACAAATAATCTGTAGCCTTTGCTATAGGGGAGTATTTGATTTTTTTTTCCCCCTCCTCTTTCAAGGAAAGACTAGCTTTGAAACCTACTGCTAAATTTTACACTAGGAAACCGTGCAGCCAACACATATTGTTTATATTTCAGTTGCTGTGTTAACTTCGCCAGCTACAGAGCTGGACATTCACTGAGTGGAACATATAATTTATAATGGCAAGACTTTCTCTAGCGTTGTTTGTTAGAGCAAGTCTCAGGTAATTTGGGATGTTTTGGAGGTCTGTTGCTCCTTGGGGAACAAAGCAACTCAAATCTCCCAGTAACATTTTTATTTATACTATTTTATATTTCTTGTTCACTGAACTCTGTTTTTTTTTTTTGTTGTTGTTGTTGTTGTTGATGTTTGTGTATGTTTTGATTTAACTATCCTCAGCAGGCCAAACCTAATCCAAAATGTACTTGCATCACAAATATATCAGCTTTTAGGAACATGAGCATAAATAAGCTTTAGTGAGTCCATTTTAGCTAAATGATACTAATATTAATTTTCCCCTTAGGTTCCCTAAAGTGATATGCAACACTCCACTTTTGTTTTCCCTTTTCTCTTGAATATTTTAGTCCAGGAAAAAACCTTGAAAAGTTAACATAAATTTGATGAAACATTTTTAGATCTAGAAATATTAGGATATTTTACATTATATTTATCAGTTTATATATTTTACTTTAATTTTATTTATTAATATTTTATAGCCTTGGGCTCTCTAAATACTTTTTAATTATTCCACAAAACAACATGTAAATTCAAGTAATTAGTGAATCTTTCATATTTTATTCTATACTTGCATTTATAAATTTCCTCAAATAATTTGTGCATTTTCTAGAGAACTGACCTATGCCTAGCTATAGAAAATTTCTCATAATTTTGTTATGAAAAAAGTAAACATGGAATTATTTTAAAAAAACAGTATTCACAACTTCAAAAAATGTGAAATTCCATTTTATTTCAGATATGTTAATCATTCTTTTACCAATAAGAAAGGAAGAAAAATGTATTTGATAGCATCTGATACTTAAATTAACAACAACAACAACAACAAAATGTTAGTGTTTTTTTTTTATCCCACCCCTGAGAAAATAGACACCAGGACTTAATGTGTCTGTTTTTTTCAGAGCAGTCATTAAATTATAGTATTTAGTTCATTGCATGGTGGAAGGTTTTCATAAAGTAATGCTTAGCTAAATTAAATTTTTTTCTCAGCTCCTAGTAGGCAATGTCAAGTAGAGAGCTGTGAATGTGATCACTGATTATTTCACTCAGAGATAATAATAATAGCTGCCACTTATTGAATCCCTACTGTGTGCCAGGTTATATATTTACACAATTCTTCATCTCACAGCAACTTGAGGTCATTTTAAAAACGAGGAAATGGAAGTTTCCTTTAGTTTCATAACTTTAATATGATCAAAGTTCCTCATGTAAGGGGTCAAGCTAGGATTCACACCTAGATTCTCAACATCCACCACAACACACAATGGCTTTAAAGTAATCCAGTTTATCGAGGCTGTGGCTCAGTGGTAGTGTGCTTGCCTAGCACRTGTGAGGCACTGGCATCAATCCTCAGCACCACATAAAAGATAAACAAATAAAGGTATTGTGTCCATTTATAACTAAAAATATTTTTAAAAAGTAATCCAATTTATCTTTACAAACATAATACAGTTTATCTGTGAAAATGAATGTTATCACCCAAATCGTTGGAAGTTATGCAAATTGATACCCCTAATCCTCCCCTACCTGTTTCCAATAAACTCCTGAAAAAATGTTTTCTGATTTTTTTTTCAAATCAAACAGTATAAAAGGGGAAAAAAGAGGGAAAATCTGGGTTCATGCAAAGGAAATGTCCAGTTTACACCAGTTTAATGCATCATTGGATCCAGATACTCAAGACACCATCTGGTCTCCMSGTCTGTCCMTCTCACAGCCCAGCCGTCAGCTGTGTGTTCTCCCTGGGATGGCAAGATTGGTCCCCAGCAGCATGGGACTTACATTCTATAGGGTTAGGGCAACGCTGTGGTCATTTGAGTGAGAGAAGAGTCATRTGAGGTTGCAGGGGAGGGCTGATGACTATTCAGTCCATTGTTCCACATCTCAGTGGCTTCATCTATAAAATGGGTGGTGTGGCATTCAAAGTTAATGCAGATCAGTAAGGGTTCAATCTCCAGCACCACTAAAAACAAAACAAAACAAAAAAAAGTTTTCTAGCATATTCTTGTGACATATTCTTTAGAATAGCCCCAATAGCATATCACTGTTTGAGATGTAGGTTTGRTCTTATCAATAGCTGAAAGAATTTGGAGGGGCCTGGGTTCCATCCTCAGCACCACATAAAAAGTAAAATAAAATAAAGGTATTGTGTCCAACTACAAGTAAAAAATAAATATTTTTAAAAAAGAATTTGGAGTCACATTTCAAAACCACAGAAATTATATCTCTATGAGAAATTCCATTGTTTTGGACAAAAATTCACTAAATTACTTATGAAAGCTTTGGGATGCTATCCTATGAAGAAGCTTCCCTACAGAGTATTCCAAAAATGCTCTCAGCTTCTTCATGACATATCATCCTCAAAGATAACCACCTGGAGGGAGCCGCAAGGCTAAGAACATCTGGGAAATTGGACAGGATTGGACAGGAGAATCAGGGCCAGGAATAGAGATGTGCAGGCATCTGATTATAGGAGGTGGGTCCTGCCACTGCGGTCTCTGAGAYCACAGAGGAAGCATGTATTGGAGGGAAGAGGGGGCCTGGGGAAGAACTCTGGAAAGAACCAACTTTGGGTAGGCCGACTGCAATGTTGGAGATGGACGTCATTACCCTAAGTACACGTATGAGGACACAAATGGTGTGAATATACTTTGTATACAAGCAGAGATATGAAAAATTGTGCTCTATATGTGTAATATGAATTGTAATGCATTCTGCTGTCATACATAACAAATTCAAATTTTAAAAAATGGAATAAATAAATAAATAAAAAAGAAAGAGGGAGGTCTAGAGAGGAGAAGTGAGAGAATAAAGACTGGCTGATAATGTTAGATGCCGGAGAAGGGGAAACAGTTTGAGAAAGAGGGTCTGGTTAACAGCAGTGAGTCCCAAACTCTATGGGGAAGACCCCAGTGAAGTCAAAAGAGGAAGAAAAGTGGCATGGAAACCAGTAAATGCACCAAGCATATTATACGGTTCAAATTTTAAAAGTTGTTTTCCATGGTAGACATTACAGTTTTCCAAATTTATATATGTGCTTTGAGATCACCATTACATTCTAGATTTGTCTTTAAAATTCTTTCAGTTGGCCAGGAGTCGGGGCACACACCTGTAATTCCAAAGACTTGGGAGGTTGAGGCAGGAGGATCACAAGTTCAAGGCCAGCCTCAGGAACTTAGCAAGGCCCTAAGAAACTTAGCAAGACCCTGTCTCAAAATAAAAATAAAAAGGGATAGGGATGTGGCTCAGTGGTTAAGCACCCCTGGGTTCAATCCCTGGTACCAAAAWAAATAAATAAATAAAAATTCTTTCGGCTGCCTTTTAATAGCAGATTTCCCTTGCAGCACTGGACTTGTTCTTCTGAAGACAGTCAAATGAATGTGCTCCAGGTTTCAAAGCACTATATACAAGGTATTTATCACAGTTATCCTCATGTGAGAATCTGGGGTTAACTATCATAAATACTCTACATTTATCTCTTCAAATTGGCAATGGAACTTGCCAAGGATTACAACCATATTCCCCCCAAAACAACATGTTTTAGTGCATTTTCTAGACTCTTGAAGTCTCTTGATGATACTGAAATATCCAGAAGTGAGTTTAATCATGAATTCCAAACATCATATGGCTCAAGTTCTCACAGTTCGCCCTGAAGCTTAGCTCGCATGTGCACTATGTATTTCCCTCCTTGAATATTCAACCACTCGCTCATTCAAAAATGTTTAAATGCTTAGTACATGCCAAGCACTCCGCTAGAAATTGTCTTTCTGAGCATTTTACCAAATATATTTCACTTGTATGTGTGACTTCAGTGACACCTGAGATGGCACTGCTGAAGGAAGCTTGCAGGAGTATTCTAGCATTCACGTTGTCTAAACTTTCTAATTAAAAAAAAACGAAAAAAAAAAAAACCTTTATTGAGACATAAGTCAGATATTGTACAATTCACCCTTTTAAATTCTACAATTCAGTGGTTTCTAATACATTCACAGAATTGTGTAACCATTAAACCATTGTCTAATTCCAGCACCTTTCATCACCCTGAAAAGAAATACTGTCCTGATTATTACTTCCTCATCCCCTCCTTTCATCTTCTAGCAGCCACTAATCTACTTCTGTCTTCATGAATTTGCCTCTTTGTATAAATGGAATCATACAATAAATAATCTTCTATGTCTAGATTTTTTCATTTCTCCTGTGTCAAGTTTCATCCATATTTTAACATATATGAGTACTTCAATCCTTTTTAATGACTGAATAATACTCCACTGAATGGATATACTACATTTTGTCAATTGATTCATCAGTTGATAGACATTTGGTTTGTTTCCATTCCTTGGTTATTATAAATAATGCTGCTATGAACATTCATGATGAGTTTTGATGTGGACATATGCTTTTTGTAGTATTTATATATTTTAGAGTAAAATTTCTGGGTCATATGATTCCTCCATGTTTAAAATTTTTCGAAAACTACCAGATTTATTTCTCACGGCAATATCATTATTTTACATTCCCATCCATAATGATGAGGGTTTATAAGTTCAAGCGTACTTCTTGTATTTTCCAACAAAGATACACATATTAACAATTTAGTATTTGTACCCTTAATCTTTGTCCTGACAAATCTTCCTGCATGTTCTACAACAAAGACAAAACTATCTTCTTTTCACTATGACGTTAAGTGAGCAGATACTTCAGTGGTTTCTGGTTTTATTTATTCTAGCCAAGGACAGATGACAGAAGCAATTCAATACTTGAAAAAAGTTGTGAACATTACAAAGAGCAATTTTCAAAACACAGATGTTGTGAAAGCGAGTACAATGCTTGGGGACATCTATAACGAAAAAGTGAGTATTGATATTTCTTGTTTATGGAGAAATTCACAGTTTTAAAAGTAGTTTCCCATTTGATCCTCACCCTCTCACATGGCTGATGCAGAAAGGCCAGGGCTGGACACACAGTTAATGTGCAAAGCAAGGGCTGGGAAGGCAAATACTGCCTCCTCCTCCTCTTCTAGCTCTTAAGTGCCGTGTGGCTCGGTCCCCACAGGCTCTTCAACCTGAGCCATATTCACAGCCAATAAGGACAAGGAGTGACTTTGGATTTGGGGAGCAATTAAAATATTTGAAATCAAAGGAACCTCATAATAGCACGGGGCTCTTATCTGGCCACAGGAACCATTCATTCATCTTTCTAGCTCCACATTCTTGGAGCCCAGGTGTGATTCCCCCCAGCTAAGTCCCCCAGGGAGGAAACCACAATCCCAAGAACAACAGATTGTCTGTGTGCAAAAATTAAAAAATATATAAATTAAAAAATCAGGAAGAAGAGGAAAAAATCTGCAGTATAATTAATAAATAAAACTGCCACACAGTCAAAGGATATAAAATGCACGGATCATATGGACTTTAGATTTATTTTCTTCTGATTTTGTCTTCAGTGACCCAGATTTTCCTTCAGAAATTTTAGGAAAGAAGTTTATTTCTCTAGTTATCATTACTGTTTAAATCATGAATAATAAGATGGGTTGTTTTCCAAGGGTGATTCTGTTCTCCTGCTGTAGATTGTGTCCATCTGTTTGGGGAGGCTGGGTGCATAGTGATTAAAAGCCTCAACTCTGAAGTCAAACTGCTTGGCTTGTTAGCCCTGCTTGTTCTGCTTTAAGACGTGGGACCTGGGGCAAGTTCCACACCCTGGGGCACCTCGGTTTAATCACCTCATAAGGTGGTTGCAAGAACTGAATTAATACAGGTAAGGCATGGGCAGGGTGCTTTTGAGCAGGAGAGGTAGTGAGCGTTAGCTATTTTGCTATTCTCTCCACTCTTAGTGGTGTCACATCATTGCCCTTTTCAGCCCTCAGAGTTAAGCCAGGCCTCCCGCATTCYAAGTGGCAGTGCCATTCAAACCCACCACGCTGCTCTATGATTTGCTATAAAATTAACTTGGTTTCAGAACAATTTAGGATTTTTTAAAAAATAAGTTTGAAATTAATTTGAATGACTGAAACTAATGTCCCTTCAGTTCCTGCTTTGGACAAAGTCTTTACAAACGAGGTGCTTCTTTTCCCCAGCCCTCTGTCTTGCTCCTTCTGGTTCATGCACCTTCCCATCTCCTCTGACTCTTACCTCCCCACCCACCTGGCTCCATTCTCTCCTGCCTCCGCCTTCCTGGCCCCTGATTCTGGCTCCCTCCCCTGGTCCTCTCCTCCTCCCCTCTCTCCCTCCGTTTCCCCTCTTTTTTTGTGCACCTGTCACCCCTGGTGCGCCCAGGTGTCYGTTGTGGCCTCCTCTGCTGCCCCCTCCAGCCACCTCCAAGGTGCTGCTGTCTGTCTGTGGACCCCTCTCATGGCTTCAGGTTTGCTTTTGTTTACTTTTCAGGACACAGTGGTTAAACCAAGACTTGACTTAAGCCCTGGTGAGGCCTCTGTCTAAGGGAAGCTGATCTTAGAGGGGCAGACATTTCCAATAGAAAGACACAGGGCTGTTCTTCAAAACAGAAGTATAAAAAGAACAAATCATTTGACCCTCCCACCCAACAACACCCCGAACACAGCCCTTTCAATGACACGAACATCGGCTGTCAGCCTGCATGTTTCTAATTGCAGAAAGATAAGGAAATGGAACAGAAAACTGTACTGAGGGGTAATATTTCTATTCTTGCATTTTCTCAAAACGTTTTTTGCTGAGAGCATATATCTCACCAGTGGGTTGTTTTATTCTCTAATTTTTGATTCTTGGAGAAGAGTTTAATATCTAAAGGCCAGAGACATGCTGCAATATCCAAAGGCTGTGTTAACTGCCCAAAGTAAATCTTTTTATTCATTTATTTCTATTGTAGTCTCTCACACACACTCTTTATTTTCATTTTTTTAAATGTTTTATTAGCACATTCTAGTTAGACATAATATTGGGGCTCATCATAACATAACAATGCGGGCATGGAACACAGCTTTCTCCATTTCCAYGCCCAGGGCTTCCTCTTTCCCTCCCTGCCTGCCCTTCCTCTACTGGTCTTCCTTCTATTTATTTATTGTCTTCTATAAATTGGTACTTTGTATATATACATAAAGATGGAATTTACTGTGTTATATATGTACATMGAATAATTTTTATTTCACCTGTATTTTCTCCCTTATCCTATCTCTCCTCCCTCCCTCGCCCTTGCACTCCCTGGTTTCCCCTCCGTTTTCATGGGATCCCCTCCCCCACACTGTTTTTCCTTACTTTGCTCTAGCTTCTCCATATGAGAGAAAACATTTGACTGTTGACTTCTGGAGTCTGGCTTATTTCACTTAGCATGATGGTCTCCCGTTCCATTCATTTACCAGCAAATCCCATAATTCCATTCTTCTTTATGGAGAGTRAAATTTAATCGTGTATATGTGCCACATTTTCTTTATCCATTCAGCACATGGGCTGGTTTCCATAACTTAGCTGTTGTGGATTGTACTGCTGTAAACATTGGGATGTATGTATGACTATATAGAACACTGATTTTATTTCTCCTGGATAAATACCAAGGCGTGGGAGAGCTGGGTCATATGGTGTTTCCATTCCTAGTCTTTAGAGGAATCTCCATACTGCTTTCCAAAGTGGTTGTACTAATTTGCAGTCCCACCAACAATATATGCATGTACATTCCCCCCCCCATCCTTGCTGGTATTTATTAGTAGTAGTATTCTTGATGATGGCCGCTCTAACTAGAATGAGATGAAATATCCATGTAGTTTGGATTTGCACCTCCCTGATTGTCAGGGTTGTAGAACATTTTTTAATATATTTGTTGGTCATTTGTATTTCTTCTTTGGAGAAATGTTTGTCTAGTTCTTTTGCTCATTTATTGGTTGGATTACTTGGTATTTTKGTGTTATTTGGTTTTTATGTTTGTTTGGTACCAGGATTGAACCCAGGGGCACTTAGCCACTGAGCCACATCCCCAACCCTTTTTTATATTTTATTTTAGAAGCAGTATCTCAATGAGTTGCTGAGACTGTTTTTGAACTCACAATGCCCCTGCTCAGCCTGCCTACCTACAGGGATGGTGTTAAGTTTTCTTTATGTATTCTGGATACTGATCCCCTGTCAGAGGAGCAGCTGGCAAAGATTTTTCTCCCATTCTGTAAGCTCTCTATTCACACACTTAATCATTTCCTGAATCCAGCCCAGTTTATCTATATCCCAATATAAATTTTGGAGGATTCCAGGTATTCATGCTCTCTTTAAATAAATATGYTTCAAATATACAAGTAGATTCAGATATGTTAATGATTCCTTTAGTAAATACTCACTGAAAAACAGATTAGTATTAAGTAGATAATAACATCACAGAATTTTTATGACATCACACATTTTAAAAAAAGCTTGATTACTCAAATTGTTAAAGTTACATTTATTTTTGTGCATTATTATTATTATTATTATTATTATTATTATTATTTGAGGGACATTCCTGAAGCCAAAAGAACTACTACTGATGACTTTCAGGCTGACCAAGTTGTTAAGTCATTGCTGAGAGTATTATTTCAGTGATATTAGACATAAAAAGTGGATTTGGTAGAGCTATGGTTATTTTTTATTTTTCATTATTTTGAGACAAGGTAAGGTCTTGCTAACAACTTTGATTTCCTTCCAGTTCTGCAGAGCCTGTTTTCCTAGGAGAACATCAACAACAAATGTTTTTATTCCTCTAGTTTTAGGAGCTTTGGGACATTTCCTAATTGTAGTGCACACCTTTATTCCAGTTATATGGCTAAACAATTTTATAAGCTATTTGCCTTTCAAGCTGAAACTATTAATTTGCAGGAAAAGGTATTAAACTTTTCCAAGGTGGGAGCTATAGCAAGGTCCAGAGGGACTACCCTGGGTTTTGTCCATTGGAATTTGAACTGGGCTCCGCCACCATTAATTAACTGAGCAAATAAATTCTTTGCTCTTCAGTTTCCTTATCTCTCAGTTGCTAAAAACAAATTTCCTTGAAGCCTAACTATTAAAGGACTAGAGGTTTAAAAATAGGCAGATGGTGCCTGGTAGAGCTGCCAGCATATATTGTACACGTAACTCTTACCTCCTTACTATCTCAAGCTCAGATCTCTCCCCTCATAACCCACTGTCTATTTGGCATTGCTCACTTAGGTCATTTTAAATATATCCTACTAAAAACATCCACTAAAAACATCTTTCCCTTAAGCTCTCTTCTGCCAATTCTGTGTCTCCAATCCAGATCTCTCCTTGGACTCCAGAACTTGTAAGGCCAACTGCTTACTTAGCATTTCTACCTGGATTCCTAACAGACACCTCAAAGTATTTCCCCCTCCCTTCACCTACTCCCCTCCAGTCTTCCCATCTTAATAAAATGACAGTATCAATATCCACCAGCCCTGGGTAACTCTTAAATTTCACTCCACTCCAATACCCAATCCAGAGGCAAACGCTTACCTTTATGCCACCAAAATGCATGCCAACCCCACCAGCTTCTGTCTCTCTCCGTTGCTATCACCACATCCATGTATGACACTTTATTTTCTCCCMTGGGCCCCTACAGTAAGCTCAGAACCCATTTTCCCCACACCATACCATAAGCCAGCCTCCACACTGGATTTTAAAGTAATCCTTTAAAAATATAAATCAAATGGTCTTATTTCTCCACCTGAAAACACTTCTGTTACCTTTCATTCTTCTGAGAACATAAATGAAATTCCTCACTCTGTCCTGAAGTATGAGATGGTCCCTGCTTGTCTTTAGCTTCAACGTTTCCTTACTCTCTTCCGTACCCAATCCCCCTGACTCAAAGTGACTTTCCTGGACTTCACATGTGCGGCCAGGCCCTGGCTTGGGATGTGTGCCTGCAGGAGAATGCTCTCCAATCCCTGAACTTGGCATTGCTGGCTTCTTGTCGTTCAGATCCCTGTGAAAGGCCACATCTTCCCAGGGGCCTTCCCTTGGCAACCTCATCCAAAGGAACCCATGTGGCTCTTTACCTTTTCTGAATTCTAAGAAGCCTATGTATAATCTATCTCATACTCCTCTTGTTTATGATACTTCTTGTCATCGTCCTTTAATCTGGCTAGGATGTAAGCTTAATAAGAGCAGGGTCCCTGTCTGCCCTGCTTATTATTTTATTCTGGTACTTAGAAATATGAACCTGATGCAGAGCTGGTGAGCAAAGCATGTCAGTTCATTGGACCACTTTCGTGACCAATTTCATACTACTCGAGAACAGTAATCTCTCACCTGTGAAATTCTAAACTTCTCTTTAATTTTTATTCAGTAGTTTAGCATTTTCAAAACTTGCCTTGAATCTTGGTAAGCAAATAGAAAACCGCTGCTACACCTTGGTCTACCTATGCTAGGCCCTCCACAAACCACCCTACCCATACCCTCTCTGGCTTCATATTACTCACACAAGTTTATTATCATCATATTCTTAACAAAAATTCCCAATAAATAATATTATTATAGGACAAAATTATAATAGAAAACTATACTTGGAAAAAATATTGGAATTAACATTTTTGTGATTATTAAAGTATTTTTATAATTACAATTACCACATCTTTTAAAATATCCTTTCCTTGTTAATTTACCTTTCACTATATAATCATGGAAGATGGGCCACCCATTCCACTCTCTGGATATGTTCTTTTTGATGGAATGTTAATTAAAAATATATAATTAATATAAACTGGTGAAATGAGAATGTTTTAGGAGAGATAACCAGGTATAGACCTTTTATGAGATTTCTCATTCCTTAATAAGATTAGAGGATAATCACATTGTTAAAAGAATGGGAGTTTCAACACTAAAATGATAAGAAAATTGGGTAGGAAATGATTTATCCTTAGCACTGAGAAAATGCCCATTYATTTTGAGCTTGTTCATTGGAGAGAGTGACATTTTGGACACAAAGAAGAATCTGGTAAGAATCAGAATAATGCATAAAAATTCTATGTTATAATGTAATAATTCAAGCTTTGTTTCAAAGTCTGTGATGTTATTGAGATCCTGGGCTAGGACTGTCCACTAAAATCTTACCAGAGACATTTACAACCTGAAACAAAGTTGTCCTCTTCCCATACAATGTATTTATGAAGTACATAAATTCACTGCATAGTCTCAAATCACCTTTAAGATTTCCAGGAGTAATTTCTGGAATCTTCCAAGTTTTATAATAGAATAGAGATTATTTGAGAACACAAATGAACAAATGAAAGTCATACCGAACTTTTGGAGAAGAGATTAAATCTAGATAATAAACTCCTGAAAAAATAAAAAAAACTATAAATACAGTATGTATGAGTGAAATCACATTCTAAAACGGTATGTATAAAATTGCATCTGAAAAAAAAATTAATGTTGGAGGGGGGATAGTAGAGGATAGGAAAGGTAGCAGAATACACCAGTTACTAGTATGGCATTATGTAAAAATGTGGATGTGTAACCGATGTGATTCTGCAATCTGTATTTGGGGTAAAAACGGGAGTTCATAACTCACTTGAAGCTAATGTATGAAATATGATATGAGCTTTGTAAGGTTTTGAACAACCAATAAAAAATATATATATATATATTTTATTTACAAAAAAATTAATGTTGTGTTTACTTTGGCTGTGTTTTGAAATAGAGAAACATATGCTGATACCAGTTTTATGGCAGATATACATATATATATGTGTGTGTGTGTGTGTGTGTGTGTCAGAAGATGGAATATTAGGTACTATCTGAGACATTTACATTTACCTATGTAAGAACAATTAAAATACTTCTGTTTTAGAAGGAACAAACACTCATTTTATGATCTCATCAAAGTTTTAGCATATCACTCTCTCCACTAATAGCAGGCTCACCACCTTGACTTCACACTCCCCCATTCACTGCAGAATTTCCACTGCCTGGCATGGAACTCAGTTAGCACAGGGTGTGGGCCCGATGAATGAACAGGTGAAGGAGTGGGTTAATTTTAAAGTAATAATGTATAAAAGTATTCTGGAAATGTAAATATAAGTCCACTTACTTAATTCCCTAATTCTCCTAATTAAAACTCTCACTTGAAGCTACATGCAGCCTAAAGCTCTGAAGTATAATTAGGAAAACTAGAAAAATGAGATATTTAAATTTCTCTGTTTGTAAAAACATGCAGTGTTTAGTCTAATCATATATTTTGTCCTAAATCTTTAATGTCTACCAGGGCAATCAATAATTTTATTTTCATCATTTGCATTATTTCTCAATTATAGTTTGCTTAATTTAAGGCATATGAAGTCTTTGATAGGGTTTTTTCCTGATTAATATTTTGTTATATAAATCCTGTTTTATTATTTTTAATGAAAAAAGGTTGCTTACCTCAACAAACAAAAACTATTCCTTCTATAATATGCAGGAATTCTGTTTAAATGAACAGACCTGCTTAGAAGGAATCCTTTAAGTAGACAGTTCCCCTAGACTGTCCTTACGGGCATATAACATGCCGTGGCTGTGTGCTCACGTGTGCAACACAACAGTCACACAAGTCCTGCTCATCATCATCCTCACCTTGCTAACTACTTTCTTTACCAATCAGTCTGACTACTCTCTGCATGCTGTAATTATAGAGAGGTTCATGGGGTTTGGCATATTCTACCTGTACTGTTGTTTGGTAGACCCCAGATTCTACAGTTTTTATGCCCATAAAATGGTGTGAGAAGATGACTTAAAAACTCACAGCAAGGGCTGGAGGTATAGCTCAGCTGGTAGAATGCTTGCCTCACATGCATAAGGCCCTGGGTTCAATTCCCAGCACTGCCAAAAAAAAAAAATTAAAAACCAGCAAAACATTGTCTCTTGTAAGGGTTTCTTGTAAGGGTTTCAAGAGACTGTTTATGCATTTTTTAAACTTTTTTTGTTATTATTTTAAACCTGGGTATCATCATCATCATCGTCATCATCATTTAATTGTACATATTTATGGGGAACAGTATGTATACAATATGTAAAGATCAAATTAGGGTAGTTGGCCTTTCTATCTCTTTAAGCATTTTTAAAATTTTGAGTAACACATAACACTTGTCTGTATTTATGAGATGTGGCATAGTATTTCAATACACATATATAATGAATACTGATCAAATCAGGGTAATTAATATTTCCATCTTCTTATCACCTCCTAATCTAGGGACTTTCATGCACTTATTTACTAAGAAAATGTATAATAGGTCATTGAGAACTGTATCCCCCACTGTGCTATAGAGGGCTAGAAGTTATTACTTCTAACTGGGTATCATGATTTTGCTTATGTGCCTGGAAGGGGCAGGGGATGCGGGGAAAGGGGAGTGCAGGGGATGGAACAGGAAAAAACAAAGGGTTATAGGCCAGTGAAGAGAGGAAATTCTGTTCTTTAGAGTCCTTACAGGTGTAGCTCAATCCTCCTTTAAGGAAGAGTTGTAATGAGGATGTTGAGGCAATTTGGGAGAGGCATCTCTCTGTGACTCAGTTTCATCATCTGTGAAGTAACAATAACACTGTCCTCATAGGATGCCTTGCAAGGTTAATGACATGATATACATGAAGTATTTACCACTGGCCCTGAGCTTCGTAAGAGCTAGGTAACTACTATTTATTTGTGGACAACAGCTTTTAGGAGAGGTGGGATGAAAATTTTTTTTCAACTGAGTCAAGTTTAGATGATGCTTTCATTTGCACTGTCAAGAGCATATTGTTTAGAAATCTGGGACAACATCTTCAGTGAAGAATGGCTAGTACTTATATGGGGGGTGGGGGTTAAGTGAAGGAGCCAGAGATACAGCTGTTTCCACTGGTCTGTGACGACCAGATTTTAATCACAGCTCTTGCTGTGACTTAAAACGAAAGGTAGTAAAAATATTGCATCAGGTAAATCAGGATGATAAGTAATAACATTCTATCCAAATCAATGTGGATTCAGTTCTTCCCAAACTTCTTGATACAACCATGTGAAACAGCCAAAATTTGACATTTTTTTTAGTAGTTATAGACGGACAGAATGCCTTTATTTCTTTATTTTTATGTGGTGCTGAGGATCGAAACCCAGTGCCTCACACATACTAGGCAAGTGCTCTGCTACTGAGCTACAGCCCCAGCCCAACATTTGACCATATTTTATCCAAAAGAACTTAAGTTTCCCATACCTCAAAGCAAAAGATACAGCTGTTCTTAACAAATTAATTTCAAGTGATTATTTGAGTGGCAAATAATCACTACTTGCTGGAAAAAAGCCTAATCTAATGGAGAGCCAGTTTGCCATCCCCTTGTTCTTCCTGAACTGCCATAATTGTGGAAAGATCAGTGTGGGACATGCCAAGAAGGGGTGAGGAAATATGGGAAATGGTGAAATAAAAAATTAAGAGAAAATTCTCTCTCTTATCTTTGCAGGGACGCTACAATAAAGCTTCTGAGTACTTTCAGCAAGCTTTTGACACAACGGTAGAACTCATGAACTTGTCTCTGCTAGACGAAACCAAAGTTCACTATGGAATTGCAAAAGCCCATCAGATGATGCTGACAATGAACAATTATATAGAATCTGCAGATCTCACCAGCCTCAACCACCTGCTGACCTGGAAGGAGCGGAGAAGTGACGGTGATCTTGAACAGGTTGTTGGTAAGTCTCTGGTTTTTGGAAATAGTTTAGTTTTTGTACCATTCTCAATGGTTAAATTATTTTTTGTTGGAAAGTTTCATTCAACCATTGATTTTAATTTGATTGKCAATTTTATTTCTGTTGATTCCTTATTATGTGAAGGTTGGGTATATTTTTGTGCCCTAATGTACCTTCTACATTTAAGAGGAGTATAAAATAGTTGAAATGATTTATTCTAGCTGACAAATCACCATTCTCAAGCTGATTGTTTTCCAGTTGTCTTAAATAGTCCACAATATGTACTAATCAGTTGTAACTAATGTGAAATAAGCTTATGCATTTTGATAATTCTCAATGTTGGACTGCATATGGACTTCCTATAAAGGAAGTGTTGGTGGATGCTAATTTGCCTTACCCACTTGACTTTTTCTATTCCAATTCCTATTTCCTATTCCTCTTTATCAATTTGAGCTTGAATGTTAATTTGGAAAATATCTGATAGTACTTTCTCTTACTACTACTTTTTCCCAACATATTTTTCTTGTGACAAATTTGAGTTAAAATAGTCTATTGAAAATAACTAGATGGGTTGTAAGGGTCAGCTCTGGGTGTCCACTTGGTCAGGTTCTAGTTTCCAATTAAGAATTTTAGAGTAGAATATCTAAAAACGAAATTCAGAACTGCCTGTGACAAACCTTTGAATCACCCAATTATTTGTTTGCAAACCAAACTTTTTAACGTAAAAATATTTGAAATATTTTGGGACCACTCAAGTGGAATCATAAAACCTCATGATGTCTGGGGAAGTCATTTAGCTGGAACAATGATCTGTTGGGGCATTTATTTATTTATTCCTATAGAATATAAAATTGTGTTGTCTCTTAGGTCACTGGAATACCTCTCACCACTTTTGTGTCCCTACTTGTAAAACAAGGAAAGGTCTTGTTAGAATACATGTTCAGAAAGAGGGAATTGAGATGTGGCATTCGGAAGCAGACAGCTTGGTGAATTTCAGTGTGCTCAGTTGCCCCAAAAATGTTTATGGTCTATTAGTAACTGACTACTTTTAGAAGCATTGTGCTTACAGCAGGATGATGTCTTATGGCCATATATTTGGAAGTTCCTTCTGTAGTTTTCTACCCAGGTTCTGACATTTTCTACCCAGAATGGCAGGAGATGAAGCAGAAGAAGTATGATCCATGTTAAATGACCAGTGCTGGTGAAATTTCAGTAGAGAATAAGTTCAGCTACTCACATTTTCAAGTTCATCTTAGATAAATGCTCTCTATCACAATGGTAATTATGGGGACAAAAAAATTTTGTATGGCACAAAAGTATAACCAACCTTCACATAAAACACCGTTGTCTTCTGATGACATCCCAAGTTTATTTGTTGCAATCCTGGTTTCAGCTTTTTCAAAGTCTCTCTCTCTCTCTCTCTGCTTTTCTTTACTCTAAAAAGCTGTTCATTTTTCTATACTTTTTATAGTTTGCCTCTCTATTTTTGGTAAGGTCATATTCTATCACAAAGAACTTAGAAGCAGAGCAAAAAAATGCATCTCAAAATATTCAGCCATTAACAGCTCAGTTTTCTGTATGTGAAGAGGGTAGATGCATTCTTTAGAGTGTTATCAAGACACACCGCCTTCCTCATTCATTTCATGCAGATTAGAAATCTATGCATGGATGAGCTTCATCACTGTAAAAGTAAAAAATAATAATCTTTCAGATTTAAGTGCAAATGAGAAGTCTTTTCTCATATCACTGGCATGATCAGGATTTTTAGGGCTAATCTTTCTATTTGGAAATAAAACCTGCAGGACATTATCAAATATGTAAATGTTGGTTTACGTAAATATTTTTGGTTCAAAATGCACTCAAATCTGCTTGAAAATGCTTCAAAAACACTAAGCCACAACTCCCTCTTTGTGTTTGTTGCTTGAAACTCTTTGTTGGCCTCCCTGGCCTCTTGTCCTTTGTCAATCCCTCCTTCTCCTGACTCCCCACCCCCATATATAATGTTCCTTAATATGGACTTATTTCTAGCACCAGCTTACCCCCAGGGAAATGCAGCCCATCCTGCCAGGTCTTTGGATGCTGAGCCACTCCCTGGTCCTCTCCTGCTTGAATGTGACCTCTTTTTTTCTGTTCCCAAATCGAATGTCATTTATTTTGACCAGGCACATTTGATTTGTCCTAATGTGCATCCAACATGGCGATTTCTGCAGTTGCTTCAGCTACCTGATGAAGAGTGTGAGTCTCTCAAACCCCAATTCTGATTCTTGGTATTCCCTACAAAAGAAAGCACATATGGTTAATATCTACTAGGCCCCAAGTAAATATTTGTTGAATTAAATAGAATTCAGAATGAGCCTATACGCCCGATCATAGACTAGTTCACACTAACCACTTTTATAAAACAAAATCCGTGGGTTTCCTCGGGAAGCCTATGATCCCACACGGTATCTGGATTACCATCCAATTATCACATGAATGAAGGACCACGTTTACCGAACATGCTGTTGACAAATTGACGAAATACAAAAATATTATTTGGAAAGCTGAGCCGCTTTTAAGTTTCCAACTTTCGCCTTTCTTCTCTGAAGAGGAATCTTTAATCTTGCTACTGAGGGGTCCCATGTATTCCAAAAAAAGAAAAAAAAAAGCAGATCAAAGATCTGAAAGATACATTATAAAAGCCGTGCCGTTATCGTCACCTCTGAGACTTCCATCCTGCAAACAAATCATTAGCTCAGAGAGCAGGCAATATTCTTTTAAGCAGAGGAACATGACCCCCTAAGGGAATAGAGCAGTGAGCACACTCGGGTCCCTAGATAAAATAGAACAGTGACTCACCAGCAAACCGCTCTCATCTCTGTGCCTTTCAGAAGGAATGCCGCGAATACAGGAACCTTCATACTATTCTATTACTCAGTATGGTCGGGATGATTCATCCCCCTCCTTTTCTTTCCAATATGAAAACAAGAATAGAGTCTCCTCCCAAATTTGGGGATTTGGAAAACACATTTAAATTTATTGTACTTCAACAAAAGTATTCCAGGCATAGTTTGGTTAACTTCATTAGAAGTTAATGAACTGGATTGGCTCTGGGAGGCTTACGGGCCCATGAATTTCTTCTGAGTTCTTCAGAACAGACTTTCACCTTCCTTACTGGAACTATTATCTTTACAATCAAGGAGACTTTTTTTTTTTTTTTGGTAGAAAAAAATTTGTTTTGCCTTTTGGAGATCATAGACCTAGATGGGGAAACAGCAACCTTTTCCTATTCAACTTAATAGCAGTGTTAATCTAGACGTGTAATTATAGCCATTTAAGTGCCAGCATTGTTAACCACATCACTGATGAAAATTATATCAGTAACATGTTTTTTTAATTCACTACCTTATTGTAGTCAAGTGTAGATTATATCAGAGAAATAAAATGCAAGTTCTAAGTATAGAAATAGATGAATATGCAGGCTAGGTTGGTACTTAAAGATACTTACTGTTTTCTATGAAATGGAATATAAAGGTTACTTGAGTGGCAAAAAATATCACCCTGGTTTGATGAATCCTTTAATATTCCTACAGGAAAACAATCAAAATCATGACCGTCTCACAGCCCTTGGCTTATGTTGGCTGCATGTTGAACCTTGGGTTTAATGTCAGTCATTTTTTTTAACCTTTCTTTGCTTGTGGGTTTCATTCTTGAATTAATCTTTCTAATGAAGTTAAGCAAACTATGCTGTGTGCATGTATATCACAATGTGTTCCAACTTTACATGGAACTATAATGCACCAAATTAAAATTAATAAATAGAAGGAAGACCGATAGAGAAAGGGTGTCAGGGGGAGAGAAAGAGGAGGAACTGGGGATTGAAGTGGAGCAAACTATGTTATATGCGCACGTGAACAGGTCAAAATGAACCTCACTATTATGTACAACTATAATGCACTAATAAAAGTATTTTTTAAAGGAGAAAAAGAACAAGAAAAAGCCACAGTCATGGTGGGTCCTCATTTTCTACTGTGATTATTTCTTCCTGTATGTATGTTAAATAACCCTACTGAATGAGGAGAAAGTTACCGAATCAGCCAAAAAGTCAGACTCTGTCTCTAATAGTATATTCAACCACAAGACACAGAAAATGGAGATTCTGGTGAAAATGTTGACCAAATCACTTTGTGACAGCTTGGTATCACTGAGCAGGGCTATTTCATAAGAGCCCAGTGATCTGGGGTTTAAGGCCACATTAGCTCTGGGACAGAGAAAGTCAAGTTCCTTCAGCTTGTTAAGTTCAAAATACATCATTGATAATATGTCTCTGGAACTGTCTATTGCTCTTGAGTCAAAGCATCTTTCTGAATGAATATGGTGTTTTGAAGTCCTTAAGAGATGTTCATGGGTGTTTTAATTATCATTTTCCCCTCCCCACAAACATAAGTTTCCATGGCTTCCACAAAAGGGAAATTATTATTATTGTTATTGTTATTTATTATTATTATATTATTATTATTCATTAAACAACTATATAAATACCAAGTACAAGTATTTTATTTTATTTTATTTTATTTTTAGTACCAGCGATTGAACCCAGGGGCACTTAACCACTGAGCCACATCCTCAGCCCTTTTTTAAATTTTATTTAGAGACAAAGCTTTGCTGAGTTGCTTAGGGCAACCAAATTGCTGAGGCTGGCTTTGAACTCGAGATCCTCCTGCCTCAGCCTCCCAAGCCACTGGGATTACAGGTGTGCAACACCACACCCAGCTAAGTATGTGATTCTTATAACAGAATTTATAGTAATTTCTAGCTATCTGATAGCATGTGCAATGTCTTTTCCCCAGTTGGCTCCAATGAGGTTGCTTAAGCTAGGGAACTCTTTCTTCTGAAGATGTTTGGTTCACCTTCTGTTCTCACCCCTCTTGCTTCTCAGCATTTCCTCCAGCCCTTGCCTTCCCCCACTGTTTCTAGGGCTCCCAATTCCTGAACACGCCCACCTCTCCTCTCACCATTAGTTATTCT